GTGACAAAAATTTAATACGGAAAGATGAGACCTTCAAGGTCTTCGCTGGTGATCAGCTTTTCATTAGGTGCGGAAGATCAGCGCCATGCGTGACCCTATTCGCACATACGTCTTATACGTGTTCTCTAAGGCATAAAACCACACCTTTCAGTGCGCAGAGTGTCCATTTGTAATTGTAATCATGGTTCACGAACAATTCTAACAATAGCATTATGTTTAATTTTTCTAAGTTGAGTCTTAATTTATTAACATAAAATATCGTTGTGCTTATGCTAATGCAACATATTCGTAACACGTTTGCATGCAATTGTATCGAAAATATGTCTAATGATGTGCATAAACAATTAAAACGTCGTCTCTAAGCAGCAAGCCTATAGCGTTTAATGTACAGAACAGCTTTGAGTAAACGAAATCACGAATTAGATATGCAGAAGAACTGCAATTGATGCAGTGTTGCACCGTCTCTTTTGCTGACGAGAAAAATATTCTACGCTGTGTGAAGAATAAACACACGAGCTTAAAAATGAAAAAGGGACATCGGCGGGACATAATAGCAACGTGCGTAAAAGCATTTAGCTCGCGCTCCGGGAGAAGCAGATGAAAAAAAGGGAGGCGGAAAAAGGAGGACAGAGGTTAGCAAAGGGTCGCAGGGAAAGGCTGGGTCAGAGCCGGCAAGGTGGCGGGCGCATTTAACGCGGCGGGGGTAGGAGTGAGCGATTAAAATTTCAATTCGTTTTCCGCGCGAACTGACTCAGCTCTTCCATTCGTCCTTCTTCAACGCCGGCCGTCTTCTCGCCCCGCGGACTTTCGTCCGCGCCACCAAATGACAGCTCTGACGTCGCGGAGGAACCACTTTGTTATAATTTCCTTTAATGACACACCCCGTTAGTCGTCTCTCCACCCCGTTTGCCGAGCTCGCGGAATATTTTTATTGCTCTTCACAAGATCCGGCGGTTTCGCGCGACGACCAGACGAGCCTTCGTGTCCTTTCACGAGATTGAGGCCGCGAATTGTGGTTGAAAAAACCTTCTGTCATGAAAAAAATTGCGAAAAAGATTCTTTCCGTTAGACGTTTAACTCCACGTCTTTTAGCGTTATTATCCTCACTAATGAAATTCGCGTTACATTATAATGAAGTTTACCTTAAGTCGAGAATGTTCTAAATGCAATCTGCTACACGTTAAGTAAGAACTCGCTTGCAATTACAAATTTCTTCAACGAAAAAATCCAAAAGACAAATATTGGTCATATAGATACATAATGAGAAAATCATTATATGTATCATTATATGTATAGTATACAAAAATCGCAAATTACACTTTAATGACATAATAACTTTAATAATAACTGCATTAAACAATTTGCATTTTTTAAAGAATTACGGTGAAAAGCCATTATACATAATCACTTTCAAATTTCTGATATTAAATGTCTTAACAAATAAGTGTAAAATGTAAAGCTCTTTTAGGGCCTGAAACTAATCAATCTACTGTCGATAAATTATCTTTAATATTCTCGTGTTTCTTCAGCATAAATTTCAATTTTCGATTATTAAATAACTCGATGCTCGACTTGATTATTATTAAACAATTTGATTAGTAAATACTACATCAAAATTCTGTAAATCAGAGATAAATCAATCCATGATCGAAAAACTGTCTTTAATTTCTAATTTTTTCAATTCATGCAAATAAAAGTCTCGTTAGACATTTTGTTCTCTTCAATATGTGTCACGCGTTCATAGATTTACTACCGAAAACCGCTGTTTCTATCTTCTCGTGTATTCGCAAGAAAAAGACTCGAGAGAAAAAATTTCATTGTACGAGAGAAAGCGTGAAATCAAAGAATGAGAAAAAGACAGCGAGAATGAAAAGAAGAATGAAGGAAAAGGACGAGAGCGCGCATCGTCGCGCGTGTTACGAGGAAACTTTGCCGCGTCGTAGGACTTCGTGACACGAAGGATCGCACCGAGGGGGAAACATCCTTCGACGAGAGGGTTAGGGGTTGGGGTGGGATTTCCTTAATAAAATGGGGCGCAAACGCCACGCCAGCGAATATCTAGCTGATAGTGGTTCGGTCAGCTCGACGTCCACTCGAAATGCCAAGTGGAAGCGAAGGTTGGCGCGAGGAAAGAGAGTGGGAAGGGAGGAAGGGGGGGAGGGGAGGAGAGCTGCGGAATCTGTAGAAGGGTGGCTGCTGCTTAGGTTGATTCAATCTACCGCCACCCTCCTGCTAGCCGACGGCCTCTGCGCCGTATCTCGACGCGCTAGTGGATGGAAATTGTAAAACAAAAAAAAAACGTGGGTGGTGATTCGATTAAAGGATTGAGAACTATAGGAATCTCGCGTAATTAACGAAGCTACTGGAGGCAGAGAAACTTACTTATAGAATGCTACGGAATTGTCGTGATTTCTATTATCGAGAACTTTGACTTATTCAAAATCGAGCATGTATTAGCGATAATTCAACAGATATTTCATAAAATAAAGAACTTTAAATTATTAATATCAAAATTGTAATTAGTTAATAAAACCTTGTTGGTAATTAATATATATATGCAAACTCTCCATTAAATAATTTTGCTAAAATTATTCACAAGCATACGCTATTATGCGATTTTTATAATTATTTGATAAAAAATCTTAGTCGATAGTTCGTCAAGAATTTCTTGATCATAGTGAAATGAATGTATACAAAGTTTGCAATTAGGAGGTTAATCTCTCGCCGCACTACCTGGCCTTAATATCGATCGTTTAAGGCTACCACCAGACAGGTGACGCTCATTCGTCGCGACACCACGTGCCGCGCATCGCCCACACATGCAGCAAGGTTTTCTCCCCTGTATCAGGTGGTCGCCGCGCAATGCAATAAACATATTCATAGTTGATGTAAAGGGTTAGACGGTGGTGGATATCGACGACCGGCCCGAACAGGGTGAGCGGCGGGGACAGCCCGAACTTGTCGCATTCTGTATGCAAAGTGCACAGGGCCGAAAAGCCGGTCCCGCGCGTGGAAAAAAGGTATTATAAAAAAATGCAAGGTTACCCACATTTTTTTTTATTCGGCCGAGCCGCACCGCGAGAGGGCCAAATGAGAAGAGGCAGGCCACGATGAGGGAAGAGAAGGATGGAGAGCGAGAGGGCAAGACGGTAATAGAGGGGTGAGGGGAGGGCTGTGGGCGAGAAAAAGAGTTTAGTTATCGTCGGATAATACCCTCGCACTTTTTACGCAGGCACCTACGAAGGGGCTCGTGGCTCAACCTAATAAAAAGTTAGGTGAACTGTCGAGAGTTACGTTTATTACTCGACGAAATTAGGTGATCTTCGAGTCGTTTGAGTCGACCGAGGGGATTTTTTGGCGGAGACAGAGTCGGCCCGCGATGATCCCTAATGCGTTAAATGCTGTCAGGATTACATCCATTTATTCAGTCGAGTGATTTTCTTTATAAATATATAACAATATTTTCAGAGTAAGATAACGAAAGTAAAATTTTACATTGTACCAATAAATCTTTTATTTTTATTATGTTTTACACTACAAGAATAATCAAATTCTTATTATAACTTTCTTAAATTAAATATATAATTGCACAATAAATTAAGATTTTCTCTAAGAAGAGTTCACTTAAAATTGTGTAAGCAATAAATTTCTATTAATTACATATGACCTTTTAGTGTTATATTATATGTGAATTAACTCGAAATGTAACTTGTTGAAATCTTTTGTCCCTTAAGTAATGAATGGCAGTACAATTATCTTTCTTTTTTCTTAATTTACTTAGAAAGTAGTTAATTTTCTACAAAAAAAGTTTATTTTACGTTATCTTAGTTTGAAAATATCTTGTTTATTTTACATAAAAAAAAAAATACGCTCTTTCACACACAAATAGATAAACACAAAATATTGCTCCGAAAAATCGGCAAATGTCGAATAACAAACACTTCTCGCGCCGAAAATCTCAAAAGGACTTTAAAAATCTTGAAATTTCGTGAATAAAGCCAAAGTTACACGATCGTGCACACACAAGCAAAGATTCTCACATACATCTTCGTCTGTGTTTTCTCTCTAAAGACGCGTCACCATAGAGAATCGGTAGGGATGCGAGGGTGGCCATCCTCCGTAATTGAAAGAGGACGCATCGAGCTCGAAGAGAAAACTAACGAAGAGGGACAGAAGCCGCATCCTGCAGTATATGTCCTCTTTTGCCTCGAGGAGCGTACACGAGAGCACGAGGGAGAGAAGTGAGTAAGGTCGGAGGAAGAGAACGGCCAAAACACTCATTGGAAGGAGCGAGGAGGGAGGATGAAAGCCAGGAGGGGCAAGGAGCTGTCTCAAATTTGGTTGGCCGTCGCTTTCCACCGTTCTGGGATGCGTGCCTATCTCAGTTCAGGAGGGAATCGGAGGAGATCGACTGTAGTCGACTATAGTCGAAGGTGGGGAGTCGGTGCGCCGAGGAGAGACAAGAGGAAGCGAGCTAGGAAAAAGGAGAGAGAAGGAAGACGGACGTGTTTCGGCCAAGCATTTGGATGAGGAAGAAGGAAGAACTTCCAAGCGAGAAGAAGTAAGAGAGAAAGAGAGAGAGAGAGAGAGAGTGAGAAAGGGTGAGAGAGAGAGATAGAAACGTAATAGAGGAAGCAAGAGATTCGAGTTTCAACGAAGAGAGCGTGAGAGAACGACTAAGCTTTTGTAAGAAAAGGAGAAAGTCCGAACATCAGACGAAGAGAGCAATGTTTCGTCGACGACTGGGATGAGAAGGGAGAAAGACGTTGGAGAGAAAACGACGGAGAGAGTTTGAGGGAGACAACAGCAGAGCACGAGGGGGAAGCACGCTAAGGTTCGGAGAAGAGAAAGACGGAGAATCCGAAGAGTCGGCAAGTGACGAAGAGCGGGGGGTATCGTGATCGCTTAGAAGAGGCGAGGGGCGGAATATGGGCATACGGGAAGGGCAGAGGGGTGGAGAAACGGTGCCTTGGCGCGAGCCCGTGGACTCGGAACTCTGGAATTTCAACCTACAGAGTAGTGCCGCCGTTCGCGCGACACGGTTGTGCGTCGCCGCCGTGGTGAGCGTGTAATTTAAGTTGAGTGAGAGAAAAGAGAGAGAAAGGAGAGCGAGAGAGGGGAGGGGCGGATGGAGAAGTAACACTAAGGTGCTTGCGATCATTTCGTTCAGTGTTGTCGTCAGTAACAGTGGATATGCGGTGATGTTAGGTGATTGCCTTTAAGACACCCACGCAAGTAGACTACAGAAGATAGATTTTTTCCGTGGCAAGTGGACAGCAATTGTGACAAATAAAGTGACTATCAAAATTATTCTTTCGAAATCGCATGATTTTCTCATCTACCGAAAGAGACTATTTCGCGTCGGCGATGCGCCGGTCAACATGTGAATTGTGAACTGTACGCGCGTCTGTTTTTGTTTTCTTTCGTTCGTCCCGGCGTTATCAGTGTGAGGCATCTTGTTAAAAGCCGCGTTTCTTCCTACCCGAGCTTCCTCGCAATTGGAGTAAGTGATTACCATCTTACCAGTTATCGCCGTTGTCGACACGTCGTCGCATCGAGATCGACGATGCCGTACGTGGTGATCGCGCAACATCGAGCGACGCCGAATTGGATGTTCGTGTCCGGAGTCAGTGCGGTCATATGATAAATGTAGAACACGCTGTATCCCCGTTTTTCTTTTTGTTTTTACCTTCCTTTTCTCTCTTTTTATTTGATTCCCTCCTTCCCCCCTTTCCCCCCATTCAATTTTGGCCATCATAACCATTTGTCTTGCCGAAATTAGTGAATCTTTGCACGTGACTACTAGTGATGTGTTATTTCGCGCTGTCGAACGGTGCATTTATTCATGTGCTATCTCGCGTAGCTTGATACGTCACGTGTCGTTCTGCTGCGTCACAAAACGCGATCCGAGAGGTGATGGAGTGAAGCAACGGACTGGAAAGAAAGAGAGAAAAATTGTTTTTGCCATAGAGCGTGCGCGCGCTTACGGGCGCATGACGGGCATGTGCATGTTGCTCAATTTAATTCTGTTCGCGTTCGCGTTGAGTAGGAATTACTGTACAGTCGCGTACATATTGATAAAACGCGTGACTTAACAGTCGCGTGACAAAAGGGTGAAAGAAGAGAGAGAAAGAGAGCGAGAGGACAATATGAGTGAAATGACGAGTGTCGAAACGCAGCAGCAGCAGCAGCAGCAACAACAACAACAACAATACGTAGGTGGTAGCTCGAATTCAGAGCATCACTGCAAGGACTGCGGTGTCAATTTCGAGAGTGAGAAGAGTCTGGAAGTGCACGTGCGCTATCATCAGGAAAACCTGCTAAATCAGTGGGCTAATAAAGCGCAGCAGCAGGAAGAGAGTAATAATAACCACAGCAAGACTGGCAATCATAATAACCACGTCAACCGCGACGTAACTGTGCCGACGGACTCGAGTGATCCATCATCAATGTCGCCTTCTCAAGATCCAGCATCCTCGCAGCAGCAGCAGCAGCAGCAGCAGCAGCAGCAACAGCAACATCAACATCAGCAGCAGCAGCATCAGCATCAGCAGCAGCAACAACAGCAGCAGCAGCAGCAGACGCCTCAACAGCAACAGCAGCAGCCTACTATACATGCAATTGCATGTCCGTCGTATGATCCGTTTCAAGCATCAATGTTTACCGAACCCAGCTATTTTATTCAAAACGATCAATCATACATGATACCACATCACTTCTCGCCTTCGCAAGAAGAAGCACAAAGTAATGGCGGTAACGGTAACTACACTTCGCGCTATCATCCGTATCCGCCTTATTCTACGGATCGTGTGGCATCTAACTCCACTAGCCCGCAAAATCCGCCGTTTCAGTGCGACAAATGCGGCATTGTTTACGAGGACGCGAATCAACTAGGCGAGCATATGAGGACGAGCCATTTAGATTCGCCGAGTGCGTATCCGTCCGCGCCTCAATATCAACAGTTGGGCAACAGTCCCCAGCAGCAAGGCCAGCAGTTGCATCCATCGCCGCCTCTTTCAAACCAGCCTCAACAACAATCTGCCTACGATTATAATGGCGGGCAGACAAGCAAGGTGGACGTGAAGCAAGAACCTGAAGAGCAGGCAGAGATTCTCGATCTGGATTCTCACAAAGTGCAAACGCATAGATATGAAGAAGAACTCATGAGACTTCAACAGCAGCAGCAGCAACAACATCAGCAACAGCAACAGGGTCTCCAGATGCAGATGCATCATCAGCAAGTAATGCAACAGCAGCAGCAACAACAACAGCAGCAGCAACGAATCGGGTCGCATTCGGTGAGTTCTATGCTAAGCTGGGCGCCATCGGCCGCTCCACCCCATGATTATCATCCCGTGATCCCGACAATGGGCCCCATAGACAATGTCCCGCCGATAACCGATCAGAGTCAGTTCATACGCGGCCAGCACATGCCCGTGGAACACGGACATCAAAGTTCCACGATAATCACGAGCACGCAACCGATATCGAGCCATCAGATGCCGGCAGGTTTTGTGCAGCAACCGCCGAAAGCGCCTGGCGCGATGGCGAATCAATCTTGGAAAAGCAACGAGCCGCGTCGACCGAAGACCTACAATTGCTCCGCGTGCAACAAGTGGTTTACCAGCTCTGGCCATCTGAAAAGGCATTATAACACGACATTGCACAAAAACGCTGTCAAGAACGGTAAAGAGCCTGATCCGGCGTCGTTACCGATTAGCGCTCATCATCATCCCGCTAGAGATAACAGCGCTGCTCATCCGGGCAGCGGACGAAACGGCGGCGCACCCACGCGCTCCCCGGACTTATCTTCAAGGAGTCCCCCAAACTTGATGGCAGGTCCCTCGGGCGAGGCGACGGGGGACCTGCTTCACACGCCCACCATGCCCTGCAACAACAATTCCAGCAGCAGCAACAGCAGCAACGACTCCTCGGCAGCGGCACTGGTTCAGCAACAGCAGCAACTTGTCCACCTGCCCCACTCGGGAATAATGCCGCTCAATTCGCCAATTCCGTCGCCGTTGGCGGGGCATCATCAGCAACAAATGGGTTCTGTGCCTCAGTTGGGCCTCCAGCAGCAGCAGCAGCAGCAGCAGCAGCAGCTTCACCTGCCAACGGTTTCACCGGGCCAATCGGTGCATTCCACGACTTCGCCCATGCCTCCTCCGGTGGTATCGCACATGAACTGCCCATCATCGTCCCACCACACGTCGCACATGACTTCGCCGCAAGGTACAGTCCATCCGGTCCGGATGATTTCACCCACGGTGATGGGGGGTACTACGATGCCTCATCAGCAGTACCCAAACGCCTTGCCCCCCCACGTTACAACTACTACCAACATCCCGGCGGTCCTGCTGGAATCTACCAAAGTGGTTATCCCAATACAGCTAACTACTATTGGTAACGAACAGAGCGAGCAGCAGCAGCAGCAACAGTCGGATATGCTGCCCAGTTTCGGGACCATCGAGCAAAATCTTATGCCGAGTTTTCAAGCATTCAGCATATCTAGTAGATTAGTAGTAGAACCGAGTCAATTACAGCCTATTAACGTGGGGGGGCTAAGTGCGGAGGAAACTATTCCTCAAGAATCATACGATTCTTCCGCATCGAAGTATGATCTATTTTCATCAACACGTAAGATGCCCGATGAAACAATGTTCCTTTTTGCGAGTGACATCTGCGTGGAGGCGGAATGTTTGTTAAGCCAACGGCTGGAGCAGACACAGCTCCATGATTTTGTTTGTGAGAGAAACAATAATATCAAGTTAGAAGCGAAGGAAGATGTGGACCCAAACATGCTCGGCGCGCAACCTAAAAAAGGGCGCAAGAGCAAAGCCGGCACAAGCAAGCAACGTCAAGTTATCACTACTAACGAAACTAATTGCATTTCGCAAGACGGCTTTCATAAATGCTATGACTGTGACAAGACCTTCAACAAAGCCTGCTACCTTACGCAGCATAATAAAAGTTTTCATTCGGGTGACAAACCGTTTAAGTGCGTTCAATGCGGCAAACGTTTTCCAGATGAAGTAGTGCACGGAAAGCACATGCAAATGCATACATTAGCAAGAAGGCATCAATGTGATGTATGTCCGAAAGTTTTTGCCCATAAAACAGATCTTAAACGACACTCCTGTGTCCACACTGGTAAAAGACCGTTTAAATGTGATTTATGTGGCAAAGGTTTTATCAGACAAGATCATATGAAAAAGCATCAGAATACACATACCAAGAAAGCACGGGCCCTAGCCACACGGCAGTGTGCACGGTTTGGTCAGCGGTACCAACGGTGCAACACTCCACGATTTAACGTTCAACATAACATCATCAATGCTGGAGAAGCAACTCAATGCTTCGAAAATAACCCACAGCCCGACTATAGCGAAAACGAAAAAAAATCTCAGTGAAGGCTTTAGCGCGATCTCGATGACAGAAAGGTAAGATTTTCCGTTGCTCAATAGATATCAGCATTATTTATGACAATTTCACAATCCATTTTTGTTTTTTCCTTTATACATAAAATATGTTAAATATCATGTTATATTTTGCGATCAATATGATAAACGAGAGCAGTTTTATATTTTTTTCTTAATTTAAATAATTTAATCTTTTTTATACTTCTATTAGAAAGCAATTTGATTAAGAAATTGATATAAAACGATTCCTGATTCTTCGAAATTTTTTTGACTTTTTCTACATGTATGATTCATAAAAAACTGATTAGATATTTACAACTTTCTGACTTTCACAGTTTAATTGAAATTATTGCGATGTTCAGAATTGATTCGGAGAAAGTGACCGAGAAATAGCAAGATCTTTTTCTGTGCTTCGTTGTATTAATTGATCAATTTGATGGATTGTAATTTTAATTCTCGCAAATGACTCATTGATATTTTGATGACGATCTGCAAACGCAACACTTTGTAAATGTCACTTTTTTAAATAAGTGAAAGGAAGATTAAAATCTGTGTTACACTTTTATGAGCTGTACAAACTATTTTAAATATATACAATTGTGTATTATATTATAATTATTACAATTATTGTAATAACATAGACAAAAAGGGCTTCTTGATATAACATCACAATCGTGAAATATGAGAGATTACAAATCAAAGAAATGCTATAATGCTAATTGTATTTTATACTTTTTTTTTCTTTTATATTACGATTATATTATTAATAATTATACATTTATCAATGTCGTTCATTTTGTGCTATTTTCATATCTCTATATGTTTCCATATTTGTTAAATTTATGTGACGTGATAAATGAAAAAAAATATGATTAAAATAAAAACAAGTGTTGAAAAATTTATTTTTTCATTTTTAATCATTTTTTTGTTCCATTTAAAGCACGCATGTCCGATATGCCTGACATGTCGACGAGACGCGTGTAACTTCATGAGAGAAGGCATTCCTGTCCCCGTGTGTACATTATATTTGTTTTTTTCTATTTTCTTTTATTTTCTTTTGTTTATTTAAATTATCAATGAGCCTTTTTTGCTTTATTATAATAATTATTAATTGACAATTAACAATTAATAATTATTATAATAACTATTATATTGTATTAGAATAATTATTGTAATAATTGTTTTGTTTTTTGATAATTATTAGAATAAACATAATAATTAAGAATTATATAATAACTTATCAATAATGCATGCGTAATTATATAATATACGCAAAATAAAGGTAACTATTGATTATGAAATTTCATCTGATGATTGCAACAGATGTAGAGAAGTATATTGACAATGAGGAAGCACGAAATAAAGCACAATTGTAGACGCATAATTATTAATAGTAACTGTAATATCAAAAACGTAAAAAGTACAAAAAAAATCGCCGAACATAAAAGTTTCTTACTTTTAGTGTTTTTAATTATCATTGATCTTTCTCATGCCATTAAAATTTTATAAAAACAAATCTTTTCTGCTCGTATTATTCCAATTCTGGACACGTTTTTACAGTCGTGTCTGATTCATTTATTTACAAGCCTAAGGTTGCCTAAGTTAGTTATTCGAGGTGGACTTTGCTCGCATTTTTATGTTACTCATGTGTAAAATCGTATACAATACAATTACATTACAATACAATTATAAATAATGACTTCTCATCTATTAATTTTGTAAATAATAAATATGTAAAAATATTGCACAAACAATAATCTAATATCTTTTTATTCCATATTTTAATTGTTCCGTGAATTGTTAAAGCAATTATCGCATGAAGTTTTGCTCTAGTTATCAGTAAAAATGATAAACTATTAGATTATCATTAGGTGCTTTCATTCTATCTCTGTTTTGTATATTTTAAATATTTTGTATAGACTGATACGGAAATATTTTAACATATAATATATTCTGTTATGTGAGAGTATACTTAGTGATATTTTTATTTTATATTTATTATGGTACTTTTCTTTTAAAGTTATATTGACACAGTGATTTGTTCAATAGCTGTGCTGTGAATATTTATACTTATTTGTATATTCGCTGTATTAAAGTTTATCAATTAATGTTAGCTATTTTCGCAGCTCACACAAATCGTTCCACGTATTGATGGCACTAATTAATCGATGCATGATTAATTAATGGTAAAACGAGCCAATCACCGAGACTGCGATCCATCTTCACGGAGCAAATTTCGAGAACGCATACAAATATGCAATTGTGGTAAATGTCCACCTCGCTCTAACGAAATAACATGTTCATAATCGTTTTTTTGCCACTTGTTTATTGAAGTGATTAGTTTCAGATCTGCTCATTTGATATTTTACGTTAATTATTTAAGCTTGTATTTTGTGCCCGTTGTTGTTAAAAAGAATTATCTCCAACATGGACTGTGTACGAGCATTCAATCAAGTTTGTTTATTTGTACTTTTATCTCAGAAATGAATAAGAAATATGCTTATTTGGTCATTGTTCCGTTAAGAAATAAGTTTATAATATAGATATATATATTTTGCATTACATACAAGGTGGGTGTTCATTCGAAACAGTTTGCATTTTTGAGGCACTTGATCGATTTTTTAATAGAAAACAAAAATTAAAGAATTGTTAGTTTATTGCTTATAATATGTGATCTTTGTTGCTCTTGTGAAACAAATAAAATTTTATATTTTATTTATAATTTTCATGGTGCATGCATAAGTATTGTTATTTGAATTAAATTTATATATTCATTAATATTATATATCTTAATTTTAATATTAATTAGATATGCTAATGGTCATAATTGATGACTTTTCCTAATTAAAAATAAGGAAAAGCAAAAAAACAAAATATTTAAAGTGATTCAAAAATGCAGACTGTGACAACGAATATTATGTACAAAGTATTTCTAAAAGAATAATACAAAATTTGCAAAAATTTTAGTGCATTAAAAAAAAACTTTTTTCACTAAATATCTGTTTGCAAATTTGTTTTTTTGTAGCTATTTCAAAGTTTAGAAATACTCAGTACAAGACAATGCGCGCACGGACGTAAAAAGATAGTCCCACACATGCGGAAATCGTGAACACACCACCTATTTGCGCGAGCATATGCGCCTTCCAAAACTACGTTTTGTTTATTATTAAAAAATAATAAACATAATAATATTGACATATAATATCGAGCGGTAACACGGTAAATGATATATAGCACTCTTGCCATTTTTACTACGTAATGTCACACCCGGAACAGACTACCTCAGAGTTCAGGAATTTAACGATGAATGAATGGAGAAAAGAAAAGATGAAAAAGCCAATGCAATAATATTATTATAATAAAAGTAGCGAAACATCCGTGCGGGCGAAACGACGTGCTTTCGCACACTGCATTTTTTGACAACTCTAATTGCATTTTTCATGCTTCCTCTACCACATTTTTAACGTAAAGCGATGGTAATTCTTGTATAATTCTGTGAAATAGCCAAATTGAACGTCCGAAATAATACAATACTTCTCTTTTTCTTCGAGAGTGTGTTTAAACATTTACGTGCTACTGATGCGTTTTCTTATTATTTTTGTATTAACCTCTTAACGCGGAAGATAACTTGTTAACTCCCTAGTTAGCTCGGGCAAACGGTACTGGCGTGCGATAAAACCGTGTGTTAAGAGGTTAAAAGGTAGCAAATAATTAAAAATTTAACAAGGATTGGGCAAAAAAGATCAAGAAAAAAGAGGTCAGTAATGAAAATTATTTTTGTTACTTTTTCGAATCGCCCGCCGGTTTAATCAACTTATTATAGAACATTAATACATCTTTAGAACTTAATATAGAAGCGTACGAATGATGAGAGAAAAACGTGAAAGATAGAAAGAAACAAAGGAAAACTGACGTACGTTCTTTAGAGACATATCAAGCAGTGTTACTGTACGCTCAGTTTTATTATAAATAATTGTAAACGAGCGCGTCAGTAAGAGAAAACACGCGTCTCGATTGCGATCGAGCCATATCATTGTTTTACGATCAAAGCGATCAAACTTTATGAGAGAATGCGAAAAGGAACTGCAAAGTTCCGTCAATTTTGTTCGTCTCCGTGTCGCGAGAACAACCACGAGCTATATGTAAGTGGTAATAATTCTTGTTCAGCGGTGATAATTCTTGTATAATTTTTCAAGAATTTTTGAATAGCGATTTTTACGTATAATCGTCCGCGATACATACGAATTTTCTTTGTTTCCTATATATTATTACAGTTGAAGCTCGCTAAAGTTAATAATTGCCCTGTTCCTTCATATACTTGTCGAACGAAAATTTGTAGTTCACATTAGAATGAGAAAAAAAAACCAGAGAAAATCGTGCGTTTATTTATTAATTTACGCATGTGTTAGAGTAAGATTGGGGACTGAGGGGAATGTTCCTCTAAGCGAGGCTGCTCAATCCCGCCGATGCAAATTTAGCAGAGTTTGACTGTAATAATTTTACCTCTATTAGCGATTAAAATTCAATTGTTCTAATTTCCAACAATAGTTATATTATTGACTAGCATTGTGTTTATTATTATTGATAAAATTATTTTTTGATAAACGTAATACGTAACTTTTTGTACATTTCGTACACAATTCACGAACGCCTATTGTGAAAAGTGATCACCATTTTGGCACATTCCGCGTACGATATGATAATTTGAAGACATATGTGTGTGCATATACATTGGTGGAATTTCCAAGCGTATTTTAGAATTAGGATTATATATATCTTAAGTTTTTTAAGTAACTTTCTAAGAAAAAAAGGAATTTTAATTTTTTAAACAATTTTTAAACGTATTGAAATCTATTCGCGGATTTTTTTAAGGGAGTAATATCTTATTTTAAATATGTTTATTTTAAATATATATCACACAATGTATATCACAAATATATGTCAAAAATCAATATAATATCCTGAAATACAATTCTTTGCTAAATATTCAGTTTCAAAATATTGGAAAAATAAGTCAATATTTCGAAAATTTCGGAAACATCATACACGAATTATAAATTGACACAATTTTCGAACAAATGACAGAAAAATCTGTAGAACAATATTGAAGTTTTCTGAAGTTTTTACGCTGAGGATTTTCTAAAAGTATTGTATTTCAGGTCAGTTTACTTATCTTATAATATTGATAAGATGTACATATAAATATTTCTTCCCAAATTGTCAAAACTATAGAAAAAATAGGAAGAAAGATAGTGACAATGTTGAGACATAGGTTTCTCTTAATAAGAATGTGATTCTAATATTCCATGGGCATTTTCTTAAAGAATGTACTAAAAGACCGCAAATTGATTGCAATGCAAGAAAAAAAACAGACATATTAAAGAGAGAAGTTTTCTCTCATTTCGTAATGATGTAATTTCGCACTGTTGTTTATATCTTTTTGTGCCATAACTATAAAGTTTCAGCGAGAAGGAGAGAATGTGACTCATTACGAAGTTATCAAATTTTTTACGTAAAGCATTGTCAAATATTACGAGATGATATTTCGATTATATTTTACGTCTATATATTTTGAGGACTCGCTTTATACGTAGGATGGCACATACTTACCTCTAAGATTTTTAACAGTATGTATTTTACATCTATATATTAATATCGCTTTATTCCAAATGCAAAATAGCGACGGTGCATGTGTTTGGTTCCTTTTGGAGGACAGAAACAAAATAAGATTTGAAAGCTGGCAATTGTTCGAAAAATCATGAAATCAAAATCAGTATAGAATAATGATTCTTCGAAACGCATATTACCGCGTATTATAGAATAATCTGGAAAATTATTTGTGCACATTGTCTTTCTATGCTGATTTCAAGATCATGATTTTTCGGGCAACTTTTTAAGTTTTAGAATAATACCTTTTTAGAAGTTTGCATACCCACATTGCTGTTTTAGTCCTAAGATGCATCCCAGTTATAAAAAATGTTTTATTTGACATTCACTGCAAGCATAGTAATGTGATTCATGATTATTTTAAGCATTATTGAAAACAAAAAGACATTTCGAGTTTATAAGCAATAATTTGAAAATAAATAAATATTGCAGAGTCGCAAACAGATTTTTAATCCCGCTTATGCATCTTAGAATTAAGCTTTCAACTGGCACTGTGGGAATTTCATATTGCAGCTAGTCATGATACTTTTTAATAATATTTTAACAGTATGACTTAAAAAGAAAGTTTTATATTTTCAATGTACAACTTAATCCACATTTGACTCTTTTTTTGTTTTTTAAGTGAACACGTAACAACAGATCTGACTCTCTATATAGATCTGTATTATAATGATGCTTTGCGAAAGAATGTGTCGATGATTGCGAATAATATATCACATCGTGATGAAACGCGCGGTAAGAAGTGCGTGAGGAAAGAAAGCAAGAGAAAACGGTAAAAAAATTATTATAATAATGTACGTTTTTGTTTAAAAAATTATTATAATAATGTATCCGTTTTTGGTTAAAAATATATATATTTTGTTTCTTAAAATAAAGTGGAAAAGTGACGACACTTTTTTTTTTTTATTATAGTATTTTTTTTCCTTCTCATTTCCTTTCTTTCCTGATGTTATTAATCACTTTACACTTCATAGATTATATTGCATATATTTTATTTGTTGTTTGTACATTGAACAAAATTGACAAGATCCAAGTTGTACTACAAGACGAGTAATTATTCGCACTAGCACGGCTGTCTGGTTTAAGAAACAGGAAGAAATATTGAAAGTTTGTAAGAAGGTTTTATTTTCTACTTGAAATAAAGTGCTTTATAAATATTTTTCTCTGTATACACGAATTTGTAAACTGTTTTGTATATTGGTGCAGTTTCACACTTATCGTACAGCATTCAGCGAAACTTGAAACATGGTGTATGATGCATGGGAACTGAACGGAGTTAATGCGTATGTTATGTTTGTTCGTGATCGAGCTTCATTAAATTTCGATGAGCGAAACGTTTCGTCCGCTTTACGAAATCCATGGATTCCTCCTGTTTTATACATACTGTTTGCACGGGCATTTTTTCTCGCGCTTTTATTGGCCAATTTAGTTAATATCAGAGTACAGACGCGCGGCTATGTACGCGCCCGCGAGATTCCATGAAATATCCCGATCACGGCGAGTCGCCCATCCTCCCGATCTGTACCATTACACCCACCAATCCTTCCCTTCTGTAATCCTTTTCCCCGTTCCCCTCCCTGGCCTCTCGTCGCGTACTCGTAACCTTGGGCATTCTGTAATTTAGCAAATTGTTGCGGACTCGACGAAAGGAATCGCTCGATTCGCGGGTGCTTCGCCAATAGCGATGATGGTATCGTTCGTCGCGCTTCGACGACTCCGGGCAAAAAAGAGTAAATAAATAATCAGAGAATCGAAGAGAGAGAGAGAGAGAGAGAGAGATAAAGGATGTCCTGCGAATTCTTACGGGCAAGACAAAACGCAGATTTCTTGCACGCGACTCGATCGTTCCGAATCGATGGTAAGTTCGGTTCTTCGAATTTCTTTGGCTCTAAGAGGATTTTGCACTAAAATCGAAATGCATTTGTCATTACATATAAAAATAAGTTGCCATTAAACAAGTATTTTGGAGAATGTTAGAAGCATCAAAATACTTTTCGACTTATGATTTGTAAAATTGTGCAGTCTTTCTTACGACGGTTTATCGCTGAGCAAATTATACGCGCCGTGCATCTGCCAT